TCTAGACATGCACACACACATACAATTTTTTTTTATTTTTCTGTTTTCCCCATGATTAGCAGTTTACAACAAGGCATTTCTCAACAATCAGAACGCATTTACATTAAAATAATCAAGTTAGAGAGTGATTATTTTCTGGGACTGCCAAGTCACCCCATGTCACATACATCTACTCTTTAATGTATTTTAATGGTTAAATTTTTATTTTTAATCACAGTTGTTTTGTACACAACTTAAAAAAAAAAAAACAACTCTGTCCAAAACATGTGACACATCAGGTTTTCCTCAAAATGGTCTTGGTAAGTTGACCATATGCCCAAATTTCAAATCCAGTTAGTAGTTTAGAAACTAAAGTTAAAAAATTGTGACCTGCCTGCAATTATACATCATATCTACAGAAGGAGACATGCTTCTTGTGGTCCTGTTTGAGCAGGGAAAGAAATTTTACAATAACTTTGAATAAAGAGCTTATTCCCAAAAGATGCTTTCTTTGTAGCAACTAATAATTAACAAGCGTGTTTGAATGTTTCCTCTTCCTCTCAGAGGTTATCCTTTCTCCATGTGGAAAATTACAGCCCCTGCCATTATTCAACTGAGAAATTTCTTTCTTATCTAAAATATTGTTATCACTCAAATTTGACAAGATCACAATGAAAAAGCAGTTCATTACATGTATAGGCATGCATAAGCATGCATGACTGTGGTCTTGTCAGCACGGTTACTGTGAACAAGGGACGCTTGTTTCTAGTTGCAATATCCTCACCTGGGGAAAGTTTGGAAAGTAACAGCTGCGCCTCAACAGTTGCTGTTTTGACTCCCACAAGAAATGTGTTTCTCAGTACATGCCTGAGTAAGAGTTGTGAGGGTTTGGTAGTGTCAAATCTGAGTGGTAACAGTATTTTAGATAAGAAAGAAACTGTTCTAAAAGTATACAGCCAGCACTCCCAACCAGTTGTATTCAATGCTGCCTTTATGGAATGGTGCCCTCTGGGCCTCTGGGGAAGGGCTAGACTACACAGGTGGGAGAGGACCAGGGCGGGAGGCTTCATCTACGCAACCACAAAGCTGTCCGTGTAGACCTTCCTCGAATTGTAGCTTTACATCCATGTTTCTGGCCATAACCCTTCATCCTCTGTTCTTTAAGAAAATCTAATAAACCCATTGGTTCCCCCGACAGTGAACTTGGTGGAATCTCACCATGGTTTGCCATTGGAATGTCGGAGGAGAGGGTTGTTTATGTCTCCTCAGGAGGGGAAATTTTACCCACACCCCACAAGAGCCCCTTCAGGTTGTTTTCAGCTCAGATGCTTTAGTACATGGAAGCAGGGTCTACTTGCCCCTTTCACCTGCCTCATTTTGCTTGGCCTTGACCAATTACAGCAAAGCTGGGGAAGTACGTAATCAACCTTGAGGGTCCCAGTACCTGCAACCCTACCCACTCCTGCTTTCCATCTGACTTCTTCTAGAAGTCCCCCAACCCCCGCTGCCCAAAACATCTCAGTGAAATTCCCTGTTTTCCCAGTGTCTGCACTTTTACACACACATCTTCACCTCTGCCCCAGCTTTCTCCTTCTCCTGAATACACAGAAAAGTCTAGGTTTGCACCAACAAGGTTCAAAGCTAGAGGCTATTCCCCTAACTTACCCTCTCTCCTTCTCCACCTCTACCTAAGACATTGTTTTCTATATTTTAGTACATCTGGGATATTGGCATCAGGACCAAGCTGAGATGGTTGAATAAATTTGGAGTGTGGTAGTTTTGTCTTGTTTTGTCTTTAATAAAAAGTTTCGTACCATTCTTATTTATTCGTTATCTAGAACAATAGGACCAACTTCCAGAACAAAGGGGCCATACACAGAGAGTCCATCATCTTTGATGACCCCTACTTCAAATGCCTATGCTGCTGGGTACGAACTCAAAACCCATTCTTGATATTTTCTTTTTTGTTGTATTTTTATTATTTAAAATAAAATTTAAACTTAAATTTATTTGATCATATTCTTTTTCTTCCCCAAGCCCTTCCAGATCCTCTCCCCTTCCCTGTCCACCTAACTTTAAGTTCTTTCTAAAAAAAAAAAAAAGGCACTTGGGTGTGTGTGTGCACATGCGTACACACGATTCATGCGTGCACACATACACACAAACCCTCAGAGTCCATTATATGTTGATCAACTACTTCCTAAAATGAGATCAACCCTGAAGTGGTTGACATACCTGTAGTGTCATAATATTGGAAAAAAATTGATTTTCCTCTCCCAGCAGGTATAAATGACAGTTCAGATGTTAACCTTTACCCTAGTGGCTAGGTTTACATTCATTCATTCATTTTTAAAATATAATAAGATATGCTTAAATCTCACTGAGAAGGGGAAAAGAAAATAGACAGTAGAAGCAGTTGAAGAGAGGGAACAAGGTAGGAGAGGGAGTGCAGAGAGAAATGAGGGTGGAGATCGGACCTGGGGTGAGTGGAGGTGAGAGGACAGAGGGCCTGCAGAGAGAAGAGAAACTGGGGGCGGAGGGGGGGAGGGGAGGCATCTCTGTGACAAGCTGGAGACATAAGACAAAGTAGGCTCTAGGAGCATATGGGGAGGTAGTGGGGACTCCTAGTAGCAGAGGTCTTGGAGACGGAAGAGGACACCCTCTAACTAGACAGGACTCCAAGTGGAAAGAGGGGAACACCAACCCACCCACAAAAATTTCTCCCCAAAATTTACCCTGTCTATAAGATGTACAGGGATAAAGATGGTTCCGAGATAGAGGGACCTTCCAATTAATGTCTGGCCCAACCTGAGGCCCAGCACATGGGGAAAGAGCCAACCCCTGACCCTATTAACAATATTCTGATATACTTACAGACCAGAGCCTAGCATAGCTGGCCCGTGGGAGGCTCCACTCAGCAAGGGATTGAAACAGATACTGAGACTCATAGCCAAACAGTGGGTGAAGTATAGGAATACTTGTGGAAAAGTGGGGGAAAGGATAGAAGGACCCGGAGGTGATGGGCTCTCCAAAGAAGAGCAACAGAGCCAACTTAACCAGGGCCCAGAATCTGGTAGAGACGGAAGCACTAACCAAGGACCGTGCAGGGACTGGCCCTAGGCGCCCTACACAGATTTTGCAGATGGGCAGCTCTGCCAAGGCTGACGGGCCACGGGGGAAGAGGTTGTGCGCAGTCCCGGTAAGACTTGTTGGTCATGGGGGAGGGGGGCTCCCCTTTTCTTAGAGTAGAGGAGGGGGAGGAAGGAAGAGGGAGGGAGGTGGAACCAGGAGGAGAGGAGGGAGTGGGCTGTGATGGGGATGTAAGGTGAATAAATAAATTAATTAAAAAATATAATATTAAAAAAATCACATCAAAGTTGGACAAGATATACCAACAGAAAGAAAGAGGAGAGCTCAGGAGAAGGTGCAAGAATCAGAGACCGACTCATTCACACACTCGGGAACCCCCTAAAAGCATTCAACTGGAAGCTATAGTCCACACATAGAGAACCTCGTGCACACGCAGGCAGGCCCCGTGCATGCGGCCCCAGTCTCTGAGTTTTCATGAGTTTTGATCACGTCGATTTAGAACGCCCTGTTTTCTTGGTGTCCTCCATCCCCTCCGGCTCTGAGACTCTGCTGCCTCTTCTGCAGAAGTCCTGGGGTTCTGGTGGAGACTTCCCGCTTAAGGCTGAGCGTTCCAAGGTGTCTTGTCTACATAATGTTTGTCTGTGCCTCCCTGTTCTCATCTGCTAAAGGAGGGAGCTTCTCTCCTGAAGGAACCCGCTCTTTGCTATTTTCAAAGCAGCGCTCTAGGCTTGCAGTACATAGGGTTAAATACAGGAGTGCAAGAAGGCTGTTTTTAGGGATTTTTTTTTTTCTTCTTTGGTTTTTTAAAACAGGGTTTCTTTGTGTAGCCTTGGCTGTCCTGGACTTGCTTTGTAGACCAAGGTGGCCTCAAACTCACGTCGATCTGCCTGTTTCTGCCTCCCCGGGATTTTGTGCTGGGATTAAAGGCGAGCGCCACCACCCCAGGCTGATGGTTGTCTTCTTAAATCCTCCTTTTTAAATCTAGTAATAGTAACTCGATTAAAGTAGCTAAAGTGTGTTCTTCTCTCTGCGGCACAAGATTGCAATTAAATTTTAAATGAGCAATTTAAACTTGCGCAATTGAACCTGAGGTAGTTCTCAATGTTAACACGAAGATCACCTCGTGTAAATTCACAACAGTCCCGTAAAACAGGAATCACTCATGAGCAGTTTGCCCTCCAATGACTCCATTGATTCACTTTTATATTTTCGCACAGAATACTAGCACCCGGTACCCCACCGTTAGAAATGTCTCAAAATAACTCCTCGCCAAGACGGGGGTTTCATACTGGGTGTGGGGCAGAGTCCAAGGCAGGCAGGAGGAGGCGTTCCAGAATGAATTGTTTGAGCTGGGGTTGCTGGCATCTCAGCTTGTAGCCCTTCTGAGTAAAAGAGGACGCGATGTTTGCTTCTGAGGTTAGATACCTTAAGTTTCAATTTGGCGATGAAAAATACTCGCCCCTCCCCCCCCCTTTTTTTTTTCTAAAACCCGATTGCTGTACTGGGGAGTAAGGAAACGCGAGAGTTTTCGAGCTGGTGGAGAATGGACTAGCTTAGGAGACCCACGTGCTCCTCTTTTTTGCACGCTTGCTCCCGGAAGGCGACCAGCGCCAAGGGGTGGCCGGGCACGGCGGGTGGGGGTTGGGAGGTTAGCGTGGGCGGCAGGTGGAGGCCGTCTGGGCAGGTACCCGGCATCTCTTCTGCGCGAGGGAGAGGGTGGGCATCGATAGTTTGGGGGGCTGTCCTGTTCATGATATAGTAAGCTCAGATAGCGCCGCCTATAGCGGACTGTGGAGCCACGTCAGGCGGCGGGGGGGGGGTCGCCCCCCAACCTTAGAGGAAGGAAGGAGGGCCCGGCTGGTCACGCGACTGGGCGGGCACTGGATCTCGGAGACGAGGCGAACGAGAGGAGGGGAGCGATCTGGAACAGCATGGAGCCCTCTGCAGACAGGCTGTCTAGGGCGGCAGCCCAGGGCCGTGTGCTTGAGGTGCGGGCCCTGCTGGAAGCGGGGGTTTCGCCCAACGCCCGGAACTCTTTCGGTCGCACCCCGATTCAGGTAGGCAGGGAGCGTCTCATTTGCAGTGGGGCGATAGCTTTTGTTCACGAAAAGCCAACACCTCCGGGGAATTTCCAGCATGACCCCCGCCTGTGAAGTGGCCATTCAGTTACATTTCGAAAGCATCACCAAGATTTTTTGTTGTTGTTGTTGCTGCTGCCCTCCCAGCCCCCACCCCCAATTAAAATAACTTGTTAAAGTACAACCATTTTGACATCAAGTTTTCAATTTCTTATTATTGATAATTATTCTTTCTCCCATCTCCTGCTGTCAGTAGATTGTTTCTGGTTTTGCTTTCAGCAACTTACTAAGTTTCAACCTAAAAGGGAATTCTTTCTGTCACCACCCTACTAATATCCATTTGTAACCATTATTTCTAACTGAAACAAGAAAATTCCTGTGAAGCAAATCCCTGTGAAACCAATGTGAAGGAAAGTAACACCAGGTGCAACTTAAAAAGAAACGGTTGGGCTGTGCCTTCTGAAACGGTACAACACAAGATACATTTTATATGCTTTAAAACAGAGTGAAAAGAAAACAAAAGTGTTTCCGACCTTGAGAGCCTTTACAAGTCCAGCATGGAAACATTTTGAGATGACACAGGTTGGGTGGTTGTGAAAGATAGGTGCGAGCCTTTAAAAATAATGGGTTTATGTTTACGGTTTAACATCTGAAGTGTTACCAGGGTCCGCGGAGTTTGCATTTGGAGTGCTAAAATATATAAGAGAGGACCTTCTTTATTGAATGCAGAAAAGTAAAATAAAGACAGGTTGATAATTTTCACTATTTAGTACAGGGTGGGGGTCGGGAGAAAAGAGGTCGTTTTGGTTCAGAACCTTTACCAACTTGGTATCTGAGACCAAAATGCTTACTTTATAAAAGGGAAAAAAAATTCTGGCTGAGTTGGTGCACGCCTTTAATCGCAGCACTCAAGAGGCAGAAGAAGGTGAATCTTTGAGTTCTAGGACAGCCAGGACTACACAAAGAAAACCCTGTCTAGAAAACCCAAAATGGAAGAAGAAGATGATGAAGAGGAAGTGTGTGTGTGTGGGGGGGGGGGATACTTTCTTAAAAGGATTTAGGCACTCTCCAAGTATTCATTTTATTTTTGCTTCTCCTTTTCCATACCATAAAAGACATGAGCAATCTTTAAAACCAGTTTTATGAGCAAGATGGAGGGAGGACTTTAACATACACATGAAGCATAGGTTTTTTTTTTCTTCTTCTTCTTCTTCTTCTTCTTTTTGCAATTCGCTTTAAGTTTTCCTGAAACCTAAATTAGTTTCACTTTCTTAAGGGAAAGATTCAGCAATACCACTGCAGCTGATTATGTTATCTTGATGTAGAAAAATTGAGTAGTTCATGTTTAAAATCATACAGAATTGAGTGGTTATGTCCACTGCCTTCTCTCCTCTGCCCCCATAAGCACCCAGTCCTGCCACTGTGATTGTTCTGAATAAGAGATTTTGAAATTATAAAACAATCTGTGGCCAATAAAACCGTGTTAGATGAAGTGATGAGAACCAAGCCCCTCTAGCAAATGTTAATGCAAGTAACACGGGGGTGGGGGGGTGAAGGGGAGAATAGAGGGAGGGCAAGCAAGGGAGCAAGCCAGCAAGTGGAGTGAGTGTCAGTGCTGAATCCAAAGGGATGACCCACTTTTCAGGAGCTGTGAGAGCACAGAACAGCAAACTGTGTAAATCTTCCTGTTGGGAGCCAAAAATTCCTGAAGATTCACTAACAATAAGATTCAAGCTCATTCTGGTGACAAACTTCTTGGTTATCCGTGCTGCTGTTGGTTGGTTGGTTGGTGATGTTGCATACAAGACTGTTGTTGCTAATATGATTTTTGAGAAGATTTCTGAACTTAAAAAAAACTTCCAGTAGAGGAGGAGATGGCAGCTGAAGCAGCTGCTTCACTCCTAGAAGAGGCAATAAAGGTGGCTAAGCAGCAGCAGAGGCATGAGGAGAAGGCAAGTATGCTTGGCATTGTAGCAGCAAGAGTAACTTGTTCCCGAGGCTGGCTGCCAGTACTCAATTTATGATTGTTATTAGACAGACACTACCATTCAAAAATTGCGTTAGCATAACAGTGTCTTTAACTTCTGAGTATATATTCAAACCTGTAGTCAAGTTTATTCTAGTGCAAGCAAATGTTTCTTTATTCTTGACCCTAAATAAAATAGAACTGTGGGTTCTCTGTACAAAGTGGTGTTTGAAGTGTTCTCATTTTCTCTACAGCGATTTCTGCCTAGTTTATTGTTCGGTTAACTTTACAGGGCTTTAAGTTTTGTTGTTGTTGTTGCACTGATTTGTTTAGTTCGTTGAGAGGGGAGTGCATGTGGAGGTGAGAGGACAACTTGTAGGATGTGGTTCTCTCTTTGCACCATGTGAGTCTGGAAAATGGAAGCTTGACAGCAAAACATTTTACCTGCTGAGCCATCTCGCGTACCATAAAGAGCTTTTTAAAGTTACCCCTGTGAGCGAGACAACCTGGGGAAAGTCTTATGTGATTGTTAATACAATGTGACTTTTATTCATGCGTTGACACTGCAAACAGGTGACTTGAAGTTAACATTCCCATTGGTATTGTTAGCATGACTTCCAGCCTCCAGCCAGACTTTTGTTTAGCAGCAAGCAGAACTCCTGCTTAGCTTATACCTAGTTGTGGTCTTTATTCTTATTTCATTGTTTGTGTACAGATGTTTGCTTCAGTGTGTAGCTGCACCACAGGCATGCCTGGTGCCCACCCAAGGTCAGAAGGTGTGGGATCCTCCAGAGCAGGAGTCCCTTACTCATCACAAAATACTCACTTGTTTTTATGGTTTCCATTTCAATATTTCTAAATGGGGAGCATGCTTGCTTGTCCTACACAAAGCCTTGGCTTGAGGCGAGTGCATCCTCTATGGGACCGGCTTTATTTATTAAATTATTATTATCATTATAATCATTGGTGTTTTGAGACAGGATTTCTCTGTGTAGCCTTGGAATCAAAAGCAGGCCTGTAATCACAGTTACTTACGAAGGGGGTTATGCCAGGAGGATTGACAGTTCAAAGCTCGCCTTTCAAAATTTAAAGTTGAGCAGTGTTTTGTTTTCTTATTACTGTTCTAGCAAATTATAATTTTTCCTTTTATAAAAATAGATGTTTTTTTTTCTTCACACAACATATCCTGATTACAGTTACCCTCCAGGTTCTTCCCTACTTCCCCTCCTTAAGTTTGCTTTTTTAAAAAATGATGCAGTGTCTTCTGCAGCTCAGTCTGATTTCCAGCTTGATATGTAGCTGAAGGTGACTTTGAAATTCTGATCTTCATCTCTACCCCCTGGGCCCTGAGAATACAGGTATGCAGAGTTTATACAGTGTTGGAGTTTGAACCCAGAGTTTCCTTCACATGCTAGGTCTTACAGTTGTTTTATGTTCAATATGACAAACTAGAGTAATTTGGAAAGAGGGTACCTTAATTAAGAAAATGTGTCCATCAGATTGTGCTGTAGGCAAGTCTTTGAGGGCATTTTCTTGATTTCTGATTGGTGTGGGAGGATCCAGCCCAGCGTGGGCACTGCCACCCGTGGGCAGGAGATGTTTGAGCATTAGAAAATCAAGCTGAGCATAAAACAACAACAACAAAACAACCAGGGGGAGCAAGCCAAGGAGAGCACCCCTCCTTTGTTTCTGCTTCAGTTCCTCCCTGCAGATTCCTGCTCAGCTTGAATTCCTGGCTTGGCCTCCTTCAATGATGAACTGTCATACCCTTGCCTCCCCAAAATACCTCTGGTCATGGTCTTTATCACAGTAATAGAAAGCAAACTAAAACACGAGGCAGGCATTCCCCTGTCTGGGCCAGTTAGCACGCATTTAACGACTAACACAAACACAAAGTTATCATTGCCTAATTACAGCAGCTGAAGTCTAAAATGAATCCACAGGGCTTCATTTCTTTAGAAGGCTAAAAGCCAGATTCTGTTTTCTTTTCCCTAGCTTAGTGGCTGTCATTGGCCCAGGACTCCTACATCTACCCTCTGACCTCTGTGTCCCTGCTTATAGCTTCTCTTTGGCCGCACTTTTGTGAAAGCGTTGAACCCAGTCCATGACCTCAAGATCCTGAATATAGTGCTGTCTACAAGATCTTTATTATTTTAGGGACAAGCTTTCTCATTTTATACTTACAAGAATAGAAGTATGATATTCCAGAAAGACAAGGTTAACTTTGTGTGTGTGTGTGTGTGTGTGTGTGTGTGTGTGAGAGAGAGAGAGAGAGAGAGAGAGAGAGAGAGAGAGAGAGAGAGAAAGAGAATATCCTGGCTGTCTTTTTTGCCAGCCACTCTTTAGTAATTACTACAAAATGTCTTAAATGAGGCAAGCGCTCCCTGGCAGTGCTCTATGGGGGTTAAACCCTTGTGGGTAGGAAGACTTTGAGGGTGGCACTGGAAGCCTTTAGAGGGTAGAATCTCCGGCCTGTGTTTGAACCAGGTTAATGGTGAGGCTTCTTAAATGGGGCTTCTTTTCCAGGTCCTGCCCACACCCTCGCCTTGACCTCTACTGACTTTTTCAGGTGATGATGATGGGCAGTGTCCAAGTAGCCAGCCTTCTTCTCTTCCACGGTGCGGATCCGAACTGCGAGGACCCAGCCACCCTCTCCCGACCTGTGCACGACGCAGCGCGGGAGGGCTTCTTGGACACTCTCGTGGTGCTGCACCAGGCGGGGGCGCGGCTGGATGTGCGTGACGCCTGGGGTCGTCTGCCGCTGGACCTGGCCCAGGAGCGGGGCCATCACAGTGTCCTGCAGTATCTGGCTGGGAGCACTCCCCAATTCCGCAGCATGGGGTCTGCTCAAGCGCCCCCAGGTGAGCACAATTGGACCAAGAGCTCCTGAAACAGAGAAGCTGAGCAGGGTCTCTGCCTGGCTTCAGGTCATACAATCAAGGCGTGGGACAACCTAAGTCTCAGATGAAGAGGGTGCAACCCGAGTAAGCCTGAGAACATGGGTGCTGTTCCATAAATTCCCTACTTACTCCAGGTCAAGGCCTAGGCTGGGTAGCACGGGGGCAGGAGGGCCCAGAGGTCTAGATTTCGGTTCCACACACAGACAGAGCAGCAAGCAGAGCCTTGGGTGCTTTGGGTGCTTTGCAAGCCTTCCTGGTGGACTGATTCTACAGTTTCCCAGCTCAGCTGCCCTACACCCTGTCCTTGGCCTTCGCAGTGGAAAGTTTTAGGCAATTCCAAGTAGTTTCGAGGGTATCTGAGATGGTGGCCTTGCACACTTCCCTCTAAGAAAAAGAGACTCGATTCTTTCCCACCTTTCCAAGCTTTACAATTAAGGGCTGGAGGTATGGCTCAGCTGTTAAGAGTGTGCTGCTTATCCAGAGGCAGAATTTGATCCCCAGCCCTCAGATCAGGCCCTTTACAATAGCCTGGAATTCCAGCTCCGGGGGATTTGACACCTCTGACCTCCATTAGCGCGCACATACGCATTATTAAAAATAAAATTTATACTTTCCACTTCTTGGAGACATGGCCAAACCACAAATGGATGTAAGCCTCCTTTGCCTTTCAAAACCTTTCGAAACCAGGAAGCCTTTTTTTTTTTTTTTCTTAAATCCCGTCCCTCTAAGCGCCCCTTCCCACACTGCATACATGAAATATTAGGCGTAAAGTCATTTGCTAAAGAGAAAGCATTTTTCATTAAAATGAGATGCATGAAGCAAAACACGAAAAATAACACAAATGTTTAGTGTAAAAGATGGTTTAGAAGATACTAGAATTTATCCCGAAATAAGGGCGCAGGAGAGTCCCGCTCTGGTCGTGTGGAAGTGAAAGTGTTCACTGTGGATTACAGAATCCGAGCTGCAGGCACGAAGAGGGAGGCTCCGGTGTTCGGTGGTCTGAGCCGAACTGCGCGGACCCAGCCACCCTCTCCCGACCTGTGCACGGCGCAGCGCGGAAGGGCTTCCTGGACACTCTAGTGGTGCTGCCCCAGGCGGGGGGTGCAGCGCAGCTGTCTCCCTGTAGGAGGAAGCCTGCCTTCAGAGATTAAGTTTGCCAACCCCACCTGAGGGGCGTGGTAGGAGAAAGAAGTGGGTTGGGCAGCCGCTAACCAGGGCGTTGGAACGGGTGGGGTCGTAGTAGCAAAGGCGGGAACAGTCGCAGAGGGGAGGGGACACCAGCGAGGGGGGGGGGGAGAGGGGAGGGGCGGAATAGGCTGGGCTTGCGGGGACCCTGAAGATCTTAAAAGAAGCGTCCATTTTGTTCTACAAGTGCCCAGACCCCATTAACTGGGGGGTGGGAGAGAAGACCAGATCCAAAATGGTACTTTGCAGGAAGGGGGGGGGGGGGAGAGGGGGAGGGCTGGATCGCCCAGAGCTTGGGCTGTCTGCTGGGCGGGGAGAAAGGGAGGAGACTCTTCACAGCGTCCCCCCCAGCCTGGTGGAATTCGTCCTCGGCTTTGGTTGAGTCCTATTTTTATTCCTTTTACTCCTGTTTTTATTCCTGTTTCGGGTAGTGGAGAGAGAGAGAGAGAGAGAGAGAGAAGAGGGAGGGAGAGAAAAGAGGGAGAGAGGAGGGGGAGAGAGAGAGAGGAGAGAGGGGGAGGGAGGGAGAGAGAGAAAAGGAGAGAAAGAAGGAGAGAGAGAGAGAGCGCCAAACCTACGCGGCTGACGGAGTTTAGAACCGGTGGGAAAACCCAGGGCTGATGGGTATTAAAGACTGGACCCGCAGGAGGCCACCGGGACAGTTTTCTAACGCCTGCCCATTTTTTTTTTTTTTTCTTTCTCTTTTCTCTGCAGACCCCTCGGACCAGCCTGGCTTTGCAAAACAATAAAATTAAACAATGCTTTTAGAAATGTCAACTGATTTTTTTTTTTTTAAACACAGAATTGCCTTCTCCTGTCCCCAAATTCCCATTTCAGCTTTCTTTTCCGTTTTACAAAAAGTGTTTACGCAGCGCCCTGATGCTCACATCCCACCCGGTCCTGGTGACTTCATAACAGTCATTTAGCGAAATAAGAAAGTTCGGAAAGGGTAGTGTGGCTCTTCTAAAATTTCCAGCAGTTTTGTAGATCTAAAATTTTTAACTAAAAGAAAAAAGAAAACTAGTTTTATCCACCCGTTCTGTCAACATTTATTATTAGGGCATCCTGCCAGAATCTTCACACAAAACACAGGACTGGAAATTTTTAACAATTTGACTGAGTGGCAAACAATATCAGAAATAGATACCTTTGTTTCGTATGCGCGTACGTTTCCCTCCTGCCGTAGACAAGCACGTCAGAAAGAAGAAATAACAAGAAATCTCAAACCAAAGCCAGGTCTTACGATGCTGAGCTGTGCTTAAGACGGTGGGTGGGAATTCCAGGGAGCCGGAGACTTCGCATGCTTGACTTTTGGTCAGTGTGGCTTGCGTTTTTCTCCTTTAATGTCAAGAAAATCTCGTCTGCTAGCTGGCGCTTAAGGTCTGCGGGGACCTGAGCTGGGTTCTCAGGCGTAACCGTCCTCGGGGATCCCGGTGGCGAGGTAGCCCGCTGCCTCTCTGCCCCACACCCGAGTGCAATGCACCTCCAGGGCACTTACAAGGACGCCCTGCTACCCAGGCTCATCCGACCACGGCGTCTCCCCCTTCTTTTTATTAAATCTGCATCACGTAAGCCTGTTTTAAAATGTACAGTTACTGGGTAAGAGTGGCACACACCTGTACTCCGGTACCCTTGAATCCCAAGGCAGAAGAAAAGTGAGTTCCAGGCCAGTTTTCACTCTCCGGTGAAACTCCAGGTTCTCGGTGTGGGGGTGGGAGTCGGGGGAGGGTCATAAAGGACATTTAGTCCATATGCAGCGGTGGACGTTGGGCCCAGCACGTTTCCATGATCGCTTGATTATCCCCCTTACCCAACCTGAGGGCGCTCCCTGCCCACTTTTGCCTCCGAGGCGCAGGTTAGCCAGCCACGCCCTGCCCCCCCCCCCCCCCCAACTAAGGTCCGCAGACCCTGGAAAGCTGGGGTTTCCTGTTCTTCAAGGCTGCCTACAGTGTCGCCCCCTGAAATCCGCTTCGGGATCTGAGAAGTCTAGTGTTACCGAGGGCCAGGGCGGGAGAGGCGGCTTGCAGACCCGGAGAAACTTCAGAACCAGCGGACTCAGCGCAGGCAGCGTCCTGGGAAAAGGCCAGCACAGCAGAATCCTGGAGCTTTTCCAGCCTGTGAGTTGATTTCCCTGCACAGGTCCCTCCACCTCCGCGCGGCCTCCGTGCACGCACACCCTTTCAGATCGGGCAATCCCAGTGGAGCAGCCGAGCTCAAGTATGAGACAAATAAAGACAAATTAAGTGGTTTCTTTTTTTTTTTTTTTTTTTAATGAGTTGGTCATTATTTCCCTTTTGGAACTCTTTTCTGAGTGACTTGTTTTATAATACTTCAGTAGATTTCTGAATCTTGAACCTCAACTAGCAGTTACTAATTTCTGGTACGTTTGTTTGTTTGTTTGTTTGTTTGTTTGTTTTCTTTCTTTCTTTTTTTTTAAGCAAAATTTCTGGTGTTCCAAAACTTCACAGCGTTCTGTTTCAGCTTCTGCCTCCCAAGACTCCTCCTAGAACAGAGAACAGTGTCAGGGAATCTCTCTCTCACTCCACTGCCCAGTAACCCAGACCTCTGGGATTTGGTAAACACTGGCAACTTTTTTTCAATGCATAGGAGAACAAATTAGGATATGCAGAGAATACTGTACTGAAGAATTATACAGAAGAATCAAGCGATAAATACTTTATTCTTTATTGAACTTGCTGGGGGGGGGGCTGTCTGCTCTGCCCTCCATTGCAGATTGGAGCAGCTCTCCTTTATTAGTACTCCTTCATTTCAAATCAGTTAATAACGTTATTTCTGCTGTTAACAACTGAGATGAGAAAACGCTTTGCACAGTCACTTGCGAAGTAACGGTTAAGGTTCTCTACCTAATCCCGTAAGATATCAAGACCGATACGTATATATAATATTATATATGTGCATATATAATATTCACATGTGCTCGGTTTTATGAGTTGCCAAACCTTCGAGCTTTACATGGAAATAGTGAGGACAGATAGATTTGGCCTTGGAAATGAAGAAGTCAGTCATTATAGACTCTCAACTATAAATAGAAAATAAGTTTCATGAAGTTACATGATGAAACAAAGAGAGACTGAAGCTTAAGAGGAAAGTGGAGTTTCTCTTAGTAAAGGAAAGTATCTAAAGTGGGGAACTTGTAGGAAGGCCCTGAGTTCTAGCTGCCATCACAGGACCAATGGTGGACACTTCAGGGCACTGCATTCTGACCATGAAAACCTGCTTCAAGATAGGTGTGTAGATCAGTGGTGTCCAAAGGAAAACAGATTCCAGTTTCAATTGGGAAGTGACACTGTTTTGTTTTGTTTTTAATGGGAATTGATGCTAAAACTCCTCACAAACTATTCTTAAAGTACCTTTGTGTGCCCTAAGTAAATTTATTTATTGTTTTCTTTTTTTCCTTCCTCTTGTACAAGAAAATGTTCTCACAGCATTGGGAAGGTGTATCTAAAGATTTCTCTGAAGGCAGGGAATGGTGGTTTACACCCTTATTTCCAGGACTCTGGAGGCAGAGGCAGTCAAATCTCTGTAAGCCTGAAGCCAGTCTGGTCTACATAGCAAGTTCGGGGATAGCCAGGGCTGCATAGAGAGACCCTGTACCCAAACAAAACAAACAAACAAACAAACACAATTTCTGAAAAAAATATTTATTTATGGTTAGAAGTTAGCAATTATCTATAAACTACCTCCTACTATTTACTCATTTAAAGACAGGGTCTTGCTGTATAGCCAAGGCTGACCTCAAACATACTTGAGCACTTGATTACAGGCATGTGGCGCCACGCTCAATTTTCCCTATAAAAATTTCCAGGGCATATTTCTTTAACTAAGCAATTCAAGCTCTAAAATGTATGCTGCAGTCAAAGTTACATACTGGGGAGAAGAGCTGATTCATTAGCATTACCACTGAGGCCTTGTAATAAGAAAGGACACAGCACAGCAATGGCTGTGCATGACAAATGATGTAGGCTAGGTTTCCCTGCTTCTCATTTCATAGTCACTTTGATTAGGCAGACATAGAAAATACACAGTAACTTCCAAGGCCAGTTGTTGGATAGAAAAAGGTAGGTTTAAGATGTATGTGTGTCTCATAAGTGGATATTGGACATATAATATAGGATAAACCTACTAAAATCTGGACACCTAAAGAAACTAATAAATACGGAGGATGCTGGCTAAAATGCTCAATCCCCATTCAGAAAGTCAAAGAGGATGAACATCAGAAGGAGAAAACAGGGAACAGGATAAGAGCCTGCCACAGAGAACCTCTGAAAGGCTCTACCCTGCAGGGTATCAAAGCAGATACTGAGACTTATGGCCAACCTTTGGGCAGAGTGCAGGGAATCTTAGGAAAGAAGTGGGAAATAATAAGTCCTGGGGAAGACAGGAGCTCCACAAGGAGAGCAACAAAACCAAAAAATCTGGGCCCAGGGGTCTTTTCTGAGACTGACACTCCAACCAAGGACCATTGATGGAGATAACCTAAAACCCCTGCACAGATGTAGCCCATAACAGTTCAGTGTCCAAGTAGATTCCATAGTAATGGGAACAGGGACTGTCTCTGACATGAACTGATTAGCATGCTCTTTGATCACCTCCCCCTGAGTGGGGAGCAGCCTTACCAGGCCACAGAGGAAGACAATGCAGCCACTCCTGGTGAGACCAGACAGACTAGGATCAGAAGGAAGGAGAGGAAGACCTCCCCTATCAGTGGACTTGGGGAGGGGCATGCGTGGAGAAGAGGGAGGGATGGTGAGACTGGGAGGGGAGGAGGGAGGGGCTTATGGGGGATACAAAGTGAGTAAAGTGTAATTAATAAAATTGAAATTTTAAAAATGATAAATAAAAAAGTTGTATGTGTGTGAAACTATCTAAACACTTTAAATTTAGAAGTAACTGTGCATGTGCTTCTATAAAAAAAGTTTCTAGGAAAACAAAGTTGTAACTGTTCTATCATGAAAGAATGGGAGAATGGATTTACTTTGTTCTTAATATAACTTACTGCCAGTTTTTAAAAAATATGTTTAACAAATTAACATGCTAGAGCTGGGAAGGTGGCTTGGCAATTAAAAGCATTTGCTACTCATTTAAAGGATCAGAGTTCAGTTCCTAACATCCACTCTAACCATAGTTGAAGGGTCACTATGTCTTGTATTACAGCTCCAGGGATCCAATGCCATCTTCTGGCTTCCACAGGCACGTGCATACACACACACAGAAACACACACACACAAATACACATTCACAGAAAAAAACTAAAGTTCGGAAAGCAAAAACAAATTAAATAATATTAACTGTGCATGATAATGTGTAATATTTCAACACATTAAAAGATGTATAAATAAAATCAAGATACTGAATGCTTTTTTGTCATTTCTTTAAGTCTCAAGCCTTTGAGTGTTGCTTTTCTAGATTTTTCACATATATTTATAGATATTATATGTAGACACTGTGACAATAGCCATCTCTCTGTATCACAGAACACCAGAAAATATCCCTTCCCCCTGCGAATTGCTATCAATTTTTAAACCAAGTATATGAATTGGCTAATAAAAATTAAATACAACACAAGTGAAATAGTGCTGAAAGGAAAGTTTTCTAGAAATGACTACTTCATTCCATTTGTTGAGATTTGTGCAACTGTCAAACTGTATAAACGAGAAAAGAAAGAGAAAATGACAGTCAAGTAGAAACACACACAAACCTTACGTTCCTCATTGGTAAAATGGGTCCAAAAACAACTACTTTACAAGGTA